GATATCAAATAATATATACAAACAAATCTGGCTTGAACGCTGTAAAGGCACACACCAGAATAGACTCCTTACCAATACATTCACTGCGATAACTCCAACCCACCCATCTACACAACACATTAGCACAACCAAATATAACACGTGGGAAACCCTGTTCCCCAAAACTAACATATCCTCATCATACATAGCGAAACTAAATCTAGTGGAGGCCAGGTAGCCCACTCTAGTAGAGTTTTTGGCCGAGGATAAACTAGTCCTAGCTGTAGGTTCCTGTAATAATTCATGTAATCCATATAGTAATGTAACGCATAATTATTCAATAAAGACCGAGGCCAGGCCTCACTCTTAAAAAAAAAAAATAAAAAAAAAAAAAATAACAACATAATGGTTGTTATGATCGCTATGGCTGGCAAAATAATTGGCTGTACTGCTGCTGCTAAAATAACAACAGGCTTTAATTTTAAAGAAACTTTAACAATTGGGTTTTATGTGTTTTAGAGGATAATCATCATTAATCTGATATTTAATACATTGCAAAATCTCTCTACAATCGCAACGTTTGATTATTGGGTATTTTAGAAAGGTGTGCTCTTACAAAAGTATTTTATGTAATATAATTATAAAGAGCGTTTGCAGAGGCTTTACACAATGCTTATAACAATAATTTTCTTTCATCAACACTCTTGAATTATTCATACATTAATATAATGCTTTAGATTTAATTGCCCTCAATAATGGTTATGAGGCAGAAATTATTTTGAGGCAGGAAATTATTAACAATATGGTTTTCTCGATCATGGTCATTATGTAAGTGCCATAATTATTATTATTAATAAGAATAAAAGAAAAAATTATTTAGAAATATAAACGTTTAATAAATTGCGTAATATATTTGTGCTAACTTATGCAGGGCTCTTGTGACGACATTCATTACAACTCCACTTGCTACCTATTTGTATCCTATTTAATACCGAAGGAAAGTGGAGAGTAGGCGCGCTGAAAAAGATTTGAATCAACAATGGACTTATTACGTTCAAAAAAAATCTCAAATTGTTGGTTGACCAAAATTGAAAATCTTTCGGCTAACATTTATACAATTTTTATAATATAACAACGCTAGATCTGATCCAGACACAATTAAAGCAGTTATATTTACGTTTTACGTTTTATTGGGATGCCTAATTTCTCCCCACAGTTCTGATTTGACATTTTGTAATGCCGTCTCTGATTGGACAAAGTAGACTACGCCACTCTTCATCTGCCAATCAAATTATAAGATCAGGTGTAACATAAAATTTTCGGAGTTTTTCAAAAATCGACAGTAACTTAAAATCTTGGTTAGAAAACCACCTTTTATGTTTTAACAAAAAAAATTCCTTGCAAGATCTTAGTATAGTATCTACCAATCAGACCTTTATACTGTTTCAATGATACTTCCATTATTTGATCGAAAAGCAGGATTTTTCTTCGTCCAATAGGAACTATGGGGAGAAATTAGTAAACTCCCGTTGGGGCGTTTTATTGAGCATACGCAACGTATGTCAACAGTGATGAAATTGAATGAAATATCGAAGAATATTTTATATGATCCGATCATCAACACGTTTTACTGCGTTTAGTCAAATTTGTTTGTTGAATATTGATTCAAAGTTAGCTGTTGCTACTCCAAAGATTTTGTTTGGAAATTACTAAAAAGATACTGGACACTGTCATTAATTTTGCAATAATTCCGTGGAGCGGTGTCGGAGAGATAGTTGATGCACCAATAGAATATAATCATGCACCATGTGAGAAAAAAATACAAGTCCACAAGGTGCAATTTTTATTCAGGGTGTTTTTTAATAATGCAACTGTCTATGCAAGCGTGGGAGTATTTGTGGACCGTGGTTTGGTAGAACTGATAACAAACATACGTTTCCTTATCCTATGGAATATATTCACGTTTTCCTACCCTTCTTTGGTTGAGCTGATGATCGCGAGGCACTCTCATTCGCTTTTAGATTACTTGATTATCCAAATGTCTCAGTAACTGTGTTGAGATCAGATAATACAATATAAAAATTTTAATCTTATTTTTCTAATTACATACGTACATGCAATAATTATCAACTTTTCAGATCAAATATTACAATTTTTTTATTATGGAAGGAATTATAACCAAAAATTCATACCAGTACGATCACATGAAATGTGGAGGGATGGTTGCGTTCAACTTTTTGGTGCGCTATATTTTTTCCTATTTTA